GTCATTTTTATTATTTTTCTTCTCCTTTAGAGATAGTGTTATCCATACCATTAGTTGGTAGGTAGCCCTATCCATTGGATGTGAAGGGACAGACGAAAGATCGTCGAATGGTCATAGAAAGCAACTTGTAAGGATACTTTAGTAATTCGAAGAGACTGTCATCATATTATTCGTAGGCAACAAGGGACTATATCATTTTTCATAGGCAACTCGAGGGATATCGCGAGACCATGATGTTTATTCGAAGAGACTATGATGATTTAATCGAGGGTCTTTGCTAAAGTATCCCTACTTTCGAGGGACAAGACCATTTATCTGAAGGCAACAAGAGGAGTTACCCTAGAGGTGTGAGTGCGAAAAGTGTGTTCAGTTCAGTTATATTTATCTTGAGAATTAGAGTTTTCTATAAATTGATTTTATCTTTCCATACAAACCCTATTAGCATACATCTAACACTTATATATACATGTATACAAAATATAAGTGCGAAAAGTAAAGCCCTGGGACTATTACATGGCTTCGGGGAAGTTACAATATTTTAAAAAAAGAATAAGGAAATGACGGGAAAAAAAGTTTAAATGCCCTAAAAACCTAAGTTCATATTTTTGGTGTTTTTATGAAAATAATTTAAGTGTTAATTAATAATACTTAAAATCCTAATTCTGATTTATTTTAATTAATAAAAAGCCTAAAATCTAATTGTCCAAAAAAATCAATTAATTAATTTACACCCTAAAACTAATTTTTTTTTGTTGATTTTATAATATGGCTTCTTTCTGATTTTTTCATGTATAAGGTTTGATTAAAAAAGTTAATTAATAATAAAATAACTAATAAAAAAAGGGAAAATGAAGAAAGTAAAGAAAAAAGGGTTTTTGCATCGTTGGGGTTCGAACCCCCTCCCTTCTCTTCACACGCTTAGTTCCAACCTATTATGTGTTTCTTATTTAACACATTCGGACATATGAAACTTATTAATAACACAAGGATTAAGAAATTAGAAATTAGAAAACCCTAACCACCGGTGTGATTGAGGGGAGGCGTTGTGGGCACGGTTGAGCGTGGTTATGGACTTGAGGAAGTTCCTGGGGACGTCAGGATGATGATTCTAGGCTTCATTTCAGTTGAGAATGACTGGAAAACTCGGATAGATTTGCACCTATTCTTTGAAAATTTTATCTTTGAGAACTTGTTTCTATGGCAGCCCATATGTATTACAGTGGGAGAACTAACTTGGGTGTTTTGCATTTTATCACAATTGTTGCGGATAGCAAGAGTCGCCATCGAATTTTCTTTTATCCAATAAGGAAAGGGTGAAAAGAACAGGAAAGATCTTTTGAGAATTTTTCTTGAGTTCGGGGGGTAGGTTATGAAAATGGAAGGTGTTAGCACCCTTTTCATCCATATTTATATACGGGCTCTTAGTTGCTTGATCACTTTGAAAATGCTTTGTTTGAAATGTGTTTGTAAGTTTGAAAATATTTCGAAAACGCCTTTGTTTCGGCAAACTTTATAATGATTCTCGTCTCTATAAGAATGTATACAAAGTGTTGGTTTTCAAAATAGTCCAAAGAGATGTTTGTTTTGAAGATGTTTTGAAAGTGTGAGGGTGGAGATGGTTTTATTTTGTGAGCAAGCAACTACGAGCGTCCTACCTACTCAAAAGGTATTTGTTCTTTTCCTCCCCCTTTAGATATTGCTACCTTACCATTGAATTATAAGAAGCCCTATCTTTGGATGTGAAGGGACGGGTGTGGATCGGCGTATAGTCATAGAAGGCAACTTATGAGACGCTTTAGCAATTTTTGTAGGGACTAAGATCATTTTACCGAAGGCAACATCGAAGGGTCATCGAGGGACTACAATCTTTTTATCGAGGGTATTTGCTAAAACGTCCCATATTCGAGGGACATGACTATTTATTCGTAGGAAACAAGTGGGATTACCCTAAAGGTGCGCGTGTGTGAATTCTGTTTCGATTGTATGCATTTTTATCTTTGAGATTAGTGTTTTCTAACGGTTGATTTTATCTTACCATACACACCCTAATTACTAAAAATTATATTAAAGCGGTAAATTGCAGAAATTAAAATCCTAAGCTATTACATCACTTGGGGGATGGGGTACAATTTACAAATGGGGATGAAATAAGCTTAATTATTACAACCATATTGAATATCAATGAAGAAAATATATAGAAAACATAAAAACAGTGTAAAAGAAAGGAAAAAATATTTTTTTAACCATTATGTGTCGACACATGCATCTTTGATCGACACATAACTTTTCTTGTTCCTGTAAAACCAAAATCAACTCAGTATGAGTCGATGCATAATGGTATGTGTCAACTCATTTCTTGTATGTGTCGACACATTCGTGTTTTATGTCGACTCATGCACCTTTTGTCTTTCTGTTTTGGGTCTAGATAGCAGTATGTATCGACTCATAAGGCCTTGTGTCAACTCATACCCTGTTCTGTCACTAAAATGAGTCAACTCATATGAGGATATGTCGACTCATGCTGCATTTTTTTGCCTTAAACATTGTTCTATTATGTGTACATGTTAGTTCTTAACATAGTATTGACAGAAATGAAAAAAAAAATTAAATGGTTAGCTTCAAAAGGCAATGATTACTACATTTTTTCCTCAAAAATTAATCATTAATGATGCTTGAAATGAAAGGTTCAATAGTCAAGAAGACTTACCTTGAGACTGCAAATTGTTTTGATGTCTAAACCTCTTTCTAGATGTTGTGATGGCTTCAGTGAACCTCCAGGATACTGCTTCGGTCTTCCCTCTGCATTGGAAGCTGCTGGACCACTTATCACACCTTATCACACCCTCAGGTTATACCATCGACTAGGGTTTTTGATGTACCACAGCCTTCACGTGCTAGGGTTTATGACGTGTCGCTGCCACGACCTGCAGGTGACTAGGACAATCGCCTACAATTTATTGCTCTAAATTTAGATAACCTCATGGGTTTGGTGAACCCTGATGGTGAGATTTATATAGGTTTAACTAGGTTAGATGACATAGCTCGTGAGGGGAATATGTAGATCTGTTATATTTTGGTTGTATTATTTTTATATTTTGAGGCACAAAGCCTTTTTATTTATTGCATAATATTTTAACGACTATATTTTTTATTCAAAGTTAAACATAACATAAAACATTACAACAAACATAAATTAAAACAACTAAACATGAAAATCTAGGCACTACCAGATGATTCTGGATGTTTCAGCATCTTGATTATTTTATCGATAAATCTTGTTATCTGCGCATCCAATTTGACCGGACCCTTGGTTATCTTACGTCGAAATGATTTCCACATGGCATTAACATCTTCGTCGATCTTCAACTCAATCTGGTTGTATTTTACCCAACCATCTATATCAATTCTATGTTCCCAAAACTTGATCTTACTCACCCTGCTGTTATCAGTATCAGACACCAATTCATTTGACTTGTCTGTCAAGTTGGTGAAGGGTGTGGCGCCATCTGGAAGCTTGAACGCAACTAGAGGATTGTCTCTGTTGAAATACACTTCTGCCTTAATCAGAAATTGTGGAAGAGATATTTTTTTAGATGTCTTTGTCTCTAACATATACCCTATTTATACAAAAGGCGATGTATTCTAGACCACACAAATTTTTCGATGCAATCAGAATCCTCCAAAGTTGTCGGCAAAATCTTGATTGTTAAAAAAACTTGAATTATGAAACTACTAGAAATTTCAGTATATTTGAAATTTCTGGTACTGTCCCATAAATTTTTAATTTCCAGTGTACCAGAAATTTCATATGAACTTCTAGAAATTGTTAAGAACTGGAATTTTAGTACTGATCTACCAAAAATTTCCCCGTACCGGAAACTTCACTTATTCTACCAAAAATTTCTTCTGAAAATTCTTCTCAACTCAACAAGCATATTTCAGGAATAACAAAAATTGAGAGGTTCCAAATTCAAGTAGTGAGTGTCAAGTTAAAACCTCAAGAATGAGATAAAAAATTACCAAAATAATATCCTTGTTGTCTCGTTGGGCCTTCAAATTAAGGCAATAGGCCCAGACAAAATTAATAATATTTACCAATATACTATTAAACACTTCAAGAATATAGAATTTCTTGATTCACACCGACTGTCTAATTAATTATAATTGGCACAAAAATATTTAATTTCTCGACTCATGCACAAAAATTAAATTGAATCTATAACAATATATCATCCACCATAATATCAATCATAATTAAGGGATAATAATATGGCAGGTCGGGGGCAGATTTAAGCATATCCAGACCTGCATCTGTCAACTAGACTCAAACCCACACTCATTCTAAATTCGATAAGGATTAATATTTGTTCTTTCATCTCCGTCCTTAATAAGAAACGAGTTCCTCGCACCCATTCCACACCTGTTCGAATAAAATTTTAATTTTTTTAATTTTATTTTTTTTTAAATAAAAATAAAAATAAAAAAATAAACTAAATTTATTATTTTAATTTTTTTTTATATTTAATATTTTTATTTAAATTATATTTTCAAAAAATAAATAATAATTCTAATAAACATCATATTATAACATTAAAAAATATAAATAAATAATAAACTATTAAAAATAAATTAAATTTAATTAACGAGTATGGAGTTGGTGTGAACACAGGACGGATACTAACATTACCTGCCCCTATCTCATAAATAAAAATCGAATTTTCCCCACGCTCACATCCACCTTAATTAAATCAGATTTTCTGAGTGTGGAAATGGCCGGAGTCTGACAGAAGCATATGTATTTGCCATGTCTAATCATAATACAATTAAAAAGTGTTAAATGATGTGATGTGGATTGGTTAAAGAGTCAAACTCTTCGTCCTGTGACACGTTCGTTCGTTCCCACACAACACAACAATAACAACCTTGTCACTTTCCTTTTCTATTACTTTTCCTTCCTCTTATACATGTGCTGTTCTCTCTTAATTCTCACCAATCACAATATGAACAATTCGGTACTTCACAATCACAGCACTCCAACTTACTCTTCTTCTTCTTCTCGGAATCATAGTCAAAGAGATGTCCGCTACAGGTTCTATCTCTCTCTCTCTCTCGAATGTAAAATTCGATTTCTCTTTTTACAAGAAGCATGGTTACTTTGTTTGCTATGTCTCATGTTTTATAAATATGTTATATATGTGTTATGATTTTTGCAGCTGTGGTTCTTGCGGTTATGACCTTAACCTATCCTCATCCAACAGAAACAAATCATCAATAGATTCGAAATACGGAAAATCAATAAAACGAGGCATCATCTCATTCTTCAACATTGATGATACCAGGTTTACACAGGTTGATGAAATTGAATGTGCTCCTCATTTTTCTAAGCACTTGTGGGGTTTGTTTCGTCGAAAAACAAAGCTTCGGTGTCGAAAGTGTTGCAATCATATTGGTTATGCTTACAATGGTTACACATCATCACCATCTTTTATTCTAGTGCCATCAAATGGAACGGAACCATCTCCTTCTTCCACTGTAACACCAAGTCAAGTACAGTACAAAATTCGTATCCGTGCCTTGCAGCCTTCATCTTCGGTAGAATATAGAAATGAAATCTCTGTCTTAGCTTGAAAAATTATATATATAAGTGTGGTAGAAATTGTATATTTGTATTGTTTCTTTGTATGTGAATTATAATCACCAGAAACTAAGGATCTTGGGAGTTCAATATCTATGAAGCACATACTTTTGACACCGAGAGAGGAACATGACATGGACACTGCCACTGCAACACCAACATCGATAATATAAAAAGTATAGGATAGGAACATTCCAACACCGATAATGTAAAAAATATAGGAGGACTGTGAAACTTTGAAACAAATATATCTTCCTAAATTTTTTCAGGCACGGGAAGAAGTTGTAACAGGCCATAAGGTGCGTGGGAGGGGCTTTTGTTCTATTGACATACACTTACAAGCCTTAATAAATATCGTGGCATTTTGCTGCATATCCTACCAAAAAATGTTCATGCTTCACAGGATCAGGTTTCAATATAACATGAAGTTTTTTATATTAAAGAATAAATTATAGTTAATTCGAGTGTAAAGAGACATTTGGGTTTTTTAAATTAAAATTGATTTTCAAGTGAAAAACAAATTCAAGGTGGTGAATGTGACTAGTCATAATTGGACAATAGACAAGTATATTATTGAAGAAAAAAAATCGCAAACCTGCAAAACTAAGGTTGAAAGATGACATTCATAGTGGCTTGGAAAGTGGACGGAACCTTGCACAAGCCAAAGGGGATGAGGAGGAATTGGTAATGTCCAGGGTGTGTCCTGAATGCAATTTTGTGCATATCACCGGGTCCCATTATTCATATTTGTTGATATCGCAATTGCATATTCAATTTAGAAAAGCATTGAGTACCGTGTAGCTTGTCCAATAACTCATAAATAGTTGGAATGTGAAAGCAATTTTTGACTGAGACCGCATTCAAAGTTATGTAGTCCATACAAAATCGTCAAGTGAAATAAATCCTTTCTGAGAACAGGGAGAGCTGGGGATGAAAATGCACTAGAGTTGTGGGATTTGCGCTTCCTCTTCATTAGAGCAGTCTTCCACACTTGGGCTTACTGGATCCATGACATAACCACAAAGTGAGTCATCATATTTAAATATATAATAATGAAAGTGTAAAACATAGGATTAAGAGCTTTTTTAATGGGAGATTGTTTGAGATATTTTGTGTGAGATCAATTGCCACATTGTATTTAAAACATATCAGACATTTAAACCAATTTTCCAGTTATCACGGCCGTAATTGATTACGGTATTTAGCATAATCGATTATGGGTCTGTGTTTTGGATTTTTTGATTTATTTTTGAGTTTTTTTTGTGTCCCAACATATTTTTAATACCTTATATATAAGGACCCTCAAGTATAATATGCTTAGTAATGTCATTTGATATATTTTTCCTCAAACCTCAATTATTCTTTCTCTAATTTTCTCATTTCATCTTCTCCAATTAACTACTTTTCTCTATTGATTCATCAATTTATTTGGTGTATGTTCCAACATTTGGTATCAGAGCCTGGTTCTGATCCATTAATTCATTACAAAGATGACTACGGTTTTCAATAACTGAGTCCCTACTAATCTTCCAACCCTTGATTCGAAGAACTATGATAAATGGCGCAAACAAATGAAAGTTTTTTTAGGTATCAAGACGTTCTTGAAGTGGTCAACAATGAAGTTACACCACTTGGGGCAGAAACTACAGATGCTCAGAAGACTACATTCAAGAAAGAGAAGAAGAAAGACTACAAGGAACTCTTCTTGATTCATTCTTGTGTCGAGAATGATAACTTTGAAAAAGTTGGCGATTGCGATTTGGAGAAGCAAGCATGGGAGTGTTTACCGTGAAATTTGGTAAACAACCGCTGATCTTCCAAATCAAATAAAAACTGGTAACTTGCAGGATCGACCAGATTGATCCTAAGTACATGTGTTCTCATTCAAAACTCATATTCCTAAAACAAAGAATACTTTTGACAACATTCTTATTCTTTTAATCAAAGTTGATTTCAATTGTAACTTTGTAAATAGTAAGGTAATGCTTTTAAAGAAAAGACTAGAATGTAAAGAGATTTCGACTGATATTTAAAGGAATCTATTAAGCTTTTAATTAAAGTTGGATAACAATAAACATAAAATCGGTGCATCATACATACATTCTCACAAACTCGTTAATCTAATGCTGGTACTTTGAGTAATTTTGAGTATTTTGTATAAAGATGTGAACACACTATATCCTAACACTAATACCCCTATTTATACTAATTTCGACCAAACGGTCTCTAAATAAGATGTTGCCACGTTCGACATTTGTATGCTCCTTTGAGTTGTATGCCTCCATGCGTTCTTTTGGATAAGATCAAACTTTTGAATTTGAAAACTCTTTGTCTTCGAAGCGCCAAACCTGACGGTCTAAATATGCTTAATGATACTTCGAATAACTTGAAATCTTTATAGTTCACGTTTGAACCTTTTGCCAACACTTAACAAAAACAAAGCTTTTATTAGCTCTTCATCTGACGAAATATTCACACAAACTCCTTTATTCTTTCTTTCGAACTATATTCTCCAAAATATATCATTTCAGCTAAAACCCATGTAGTCTAAATTACCAGTCAACAAATTGCCTCCAATAAATGTGTGTTTCGAGTTTCTTGGAGAAACATACATTGCTTGTAAAATAATTATATTTCGACGAACATACAATATTCATGATAGAAAATAACTGTTATGATGTCAGAACAATCATGACTTACTTTAATTCTTGAAGAATAGGTTTGTATCTTTTTAAGTACTTACCATTTATCTTCAAAATCTTTCGAACATCTGCCAATTCTTCTATTTCATAGGTGTTATTTGTGAATGTTTGGATAATTCGAAAAGGTCCTTCCTAACGTGGAGACCATTTTCCCAATAACTTATTCTTCCGATCTATGGGTAATATTACTTTTCAGACTAAATCATCATTCGGAAAAACTTTTCCCCGAACTCTTTTATTGTACGCTCTAGCTACCCTTTCTTTTTGCCTTCTCAAGACTTCTAAGGTATACAACCTCTCTTCATCCAGATCAACTAGTTCATTCATCATCATTTATCAATAATAGTCAGAAGGAATTTTGTTCTGCCTCTGAATTCTTACTGATTGTAAATATATCTCTACTGGAAGAACTCCATCATGCCCAAATATCAAAGGAAATGGAGTTGTGTTTGTTTCTTCTTTTGGAGATGTTCGACAAGCCCACAAAGCTTGTTCCAAGGTCTTATGCCAATTCTTTGGTTTTATCCCTACATGTCTTTTTATTATACCAATAATTACCTTGCTTGCGGCATCGACCTGTTCATTTGCCTGAGCATAATAAGGTGTAGACGTTAATAATTTGAACCATATTTCCTTAGCAAATTCTTACATCTTTCGACCAGTAAAGACTAATCCTTGATCAGTTGTAATTGTTTATGGGATTCTAAATCTATATATTATATGTCTTTGGATAAATTCGATAATAATCTCTTGATCCACATTTTCCAAAGGTATCGCTTCAATCCATTTTATAAAATAATCAAACCCTACTAGGATGTATCTCTGGCCTTTGGATGAAGTTGGTCGAATTTCTCCAACCAAGTCTAATGCCCAACCTCTAAAGGTCCAAGGTTTAATGATCGAATGCAATTCACTCGCAGGAGCATGTTGAATACCTGCATGAACTTAACACTCTTGGCATCCCTTGGCAAATTCTATACAATCTTTCAACATGGAGGGCCAATACATGCCATAACGGAACAAAAATTGTTTCATCTTATGACCTACTTGATGTGCTCCACATGCCCCACTATGTACATTTAACAGCGCCAAGTATGCTTCACTTTCTCCTAAACATTTGAATATGACTCCTTCTGGTGTTTTCTTAAACAATTTATTACCTATTAAAATATAGCTCAACGCACGATACTTAACTTTACTTTTTGTATCTGTTGTTGGATCTTTTAGGTAGGCTATTATTGGGTTTCTCCAATTCGTATCTGCTAAGCTATCTATAGCCATTTCTTCGAAATTCTCTTCCTTCACATATCCTAAACTTGAACCCTTTAACTCTACTAGAGATAGTTTAGTGGCTAGTACCTTTCCACGGACTTCTATCAATTCCTCCAGATTTTCTTTCGAGACTATGTAGCATGATGCAATTTGGGCTAGATCATTTTCTTCTTGGTTCTTTAGTCTAGGAATATTCTTAATGTCAACATACTCAAATTTTATAAGCAGTCTATTTGTCACCACGAAATACATGATTATATTCTCTTTTATACATTTGTACTCTTTGGTTATCTGTTTGATCACCAGTTCAGAATCACCTCTTATTTTGACTCTAGTTACCCTCAATTCCAACAATGCTTCAAGTCCTGCTATCAAAGCTTCATATTCATCCTCATTATTTGAACAAAGGGGACCTTCGATTTTATACTTGAACTTAGTTGGAATTTTATCAGGACAAATAATCAAGATTCCAACACCAGTTCCTTATTTGTGGGTTGAACCATCAAAAAATAGTTTCCATGGTTCCAGTTCCATATAATCTTGGGGAACTTCAACCATTGCATGGTCAACTATAAAATCAGAGACCATTTTCCCTTTCATAGATTTTAAAGTCAATAAAGTCAAGGAATACTTTGTTAAAGCAAGTTCCCATTTTCCAATTCGATTGTGCAAAATTGGCTTAGAAAGCATATGTTTGATGACATCGAAATGAGAAGAAACATACACATCAATAAATTTTATATAATATTTTAGTTTGGAACAAGATAAGTACAAGCAAAGACATAATTTTTCTATAGTACTATATCTACTTTCTACGTTGTTTAATTCTCGACTGAGGTAATAAATGGCTCTTTCAAAACCATTCTCGTCCTCCTGTGCAAGCATACTACCTATAGTTACATCAGACGCAGAAATATACAATCTCATACAATTATTTCTACAAGGAGGTAGTAGTATAGGAGGGTTGACAAGGTATTGCTTGATCTTGTCAAAAGCTTTTTGATGCTCTTGCTTCCATT